AAACGTGTTTCTTTTATGAAGCATATTGTTGGTTTTTGTTTCTTAATCCACTCTGCTAGTCTGTTTCTCTTGATTGGTGAATTGAGGCCATTGACATTGAAGGTTATAACTGATACACATTGGTTTATCCTTGTCATGTTATTTGCCCATTATAGGTTCCATATTTCCCTCTTTTTACTGACTTGGTGGTTCCTTTCTGCTGTCCTTGAAGCTGAGATCACTCCTGTCTCTTTCTAAAATATATATCAGGACTCTTTGTAGGGTTGGTTTGGTCCTCACAAATTTCTTCAATTGTTCTTTGTCATTTAAGGACCATAGTTCATCATTGGATGTGATATAGTTTTGCAGGATACATCAATTTGGGTTGGAAGTTATTTTCTTTCAAGACCTGAAATGTTTCATTCCAAGCTCTTCTCGATTTGATGGTCTGTGCTAAGAAATCTGCTGTGATTCTGATGGGCTTTCCATTGTAGATGACCTGTTTCTTCTCTCTAGCAGTTTTTAATATTCTATTCCTGTGCTGATTTTCTGATATCTTGATTATTATTTGTCTAAGTGTAGATTTACTGTGATTATGGCTGTGTATAGTTCTTTATGCCTCATTTATCAGTATGTCAGTTTCTTTTGCCATTTTTGGAAAATTTTCTGCTAGTACTTCTACAAATAGTCTTTTTATATCATTTGTGCTGTCTTCCACTACTTCATTGACACCTATTATTCTTATATTATTTTTCTTTGCATTGTCTTGTAGCTGTTGAACTGAACTCTTATTTCCTTGTTCCTTGTTAGTGTCAAGTGATTTTTTATATCACATTCATTAGCTACAACAGTCTTCCAGGTCTGAAAGTCTATCATGAAGTTCAGTCACATGGTTTTTCCAGGTTTCAATGTAGTTCTTAGTTTCTTGGGTATCTGTTTGAATCTGTTTCATGTATTCTAGCTCTTTCCTGTATTGTTCATTCAGTGCTTTCAGCACTTATCTATTCATCTGCCCAGAGGCCATCAAAATTCTTGCATGGCTCCAGGAGAGCTCTAGATGGGCTTACAGACCGCAGCTTTCTTGCACCCCACAGGCCACTCAGAGTCCTCCTAAGTTTCTAAAAGTTTCAACAGCACCAGCAGAAGCTCCATGCCTGTGCACTGGGGACTAAGTTAGGTCAGAGCTTACCAGAATCCTGCAGGCTGCCCAGAGTCTACCAAAGTTCTTAAATGGCTGCTGTGTTATTTTTACATGACACAAATATTTGGTGAATTTCTTTGTTTTCAGACAAGCCAATGAGTTCTGAAAACTCATCCTGTAATTTTCCTGCTCAAACATGGACTCAGTGAAGCCCTTGTCCCTTGGTATCTTTAGACCCTTCATGTCGGTGGCTTCTAGCACTTTTTTTATGTATTCAGTACAGGATCTACAGGTTCTCACTACACAGATTGGACTCGTAGTGATCCTCCTGTTTTCAGCTTCCCAAACGCTGGGATTATAGGTGTGCACCACCACACCCAGTCCTAGTCACAGTTTCAGTATGCTCTGGGGCTGTGGCCAGCACAACCTGCTAGAGATCCAGCCCGGTCCCTGCACCTGCCTAAAGAGGTGCTTTACTTTGTTGGGCTATCCGGCTGGCCCTGCTTTTATCACTTTGATTAACTTAAATGTGAGAAGATACAACATCATTTAAAACAATAAAATAATGGGTTTATAGGGATACCACACACTCAATATAACTGGTTAGCTTTATGTAATTTTTTCAGTTTATGTACATATTATCTTTTATGGTAAATATTTTTATTGGAAGTAGCATAATTTTTATTAGCTTTTTCTTGTTATCTATGACAGTTGACTACTAAAGTAATATTTTAAAATAACCTTTTAAAGTGTATTTTAGTATTTTTGACATCCTTGTTTAGTTTTCCTGTTAGCTTGTATGTTAATTATTTTGTTTGTCAAACAAACAGCTAAATGTTAAATATTTTTAAACCTGTAAGTTCATAATGATAGTAAAACAGTATAATCTGTCATATGTACAGAATAGTAGACGTTGTTTTGTTTTTCCCATACAATCTTATGTTTCTGGGAAATTAAATCATAGGTAAGTGATGTTGCTGACTTATAAAATATTCCTACTACCAAAATAGGAAGGAGAGTGTGCTAGGAAGCTTTCTGTCACTATTGCTCCAGAACCAAGATCACAAGCTTTTAAGTAAAGGTTTGTTTTACACTTTTGGAGTTACTGATACATTAATAAAATAGACCTGATTAAAAAAAAAGTTAGGAAAATCCTGAAATTTGAACATCAATTTGAGGAATTTCCTAGGTATTGTTTTTCATTTCCTCTTAATCCTAGGAATTGCTTTTTTGCTATATATAATTTTGTTTTTAACACTAAAATGTTTGCATGGGTTCAAAGTTAAAAATTAAAAATATTTCAAAAGGTCTAAATATTACCTTTCTTCTTAGAGACAGTCTCTCTCTTACCCAAAAAGGTATTCATTAATATTATCTGAGGAAAACTTTGAGATTTTGTTAATTAATTTAGCATTTAATTGGTGAATCCTCAAATAGCTTTGAATTTGCAGAGAATAAGGTTATTACTTATAGTACAACTCTGTTAGAAGAACTTAAGAATGGAATCTTTTTAGATTTTAGAGAGGAAAAAGACTGAAGGCATCATTTTCCATTTAAGTAAATAAATACATAATAAGTTAAAATGAAAACTTGTATCACCATATATAGATACACTATTTAAGGTGTCGTTTTCAAAGTAATAATATAAAATTTCAAAATATTCTTCACTGTGAGAAAAGAGGTACCCAGAGAGTTACTGGTTTGATTCCAAACTTTGTAATTTATGTTAAAAAATTAAAAAAAAAAAACAAGTAAAGATGCAATTGAAAGAAGAAAAGTTAGCATGGCATGGATCTATGATATAATTATAATAATAGTCCATATTTACCAAGTCATCTCTAAGTACCCCGACTGGATAATTGCTGTGATGCTTTCCTAGTACAGTAGGTTCTTCTTAGATCAATAGCATGGTGACATATTTAATGCTTTGAGAGGTAATTAGCTATTTATTATGATTTATTTGAATCATTGCAAAGCTTAGCGTGTAGAAACCACACCCATAATCACTTCATACCTTCTCTGGAACTGTAATATTGAGGGGCTAGTCTCTGCTGCAGTGAGGCTGGATGCTGGCGTGGTGGGGCTCCTCCTAGTCTTGCCTGTGCGTGTCTTCCTCCAGCTTGTACTCATGTCATACTGCATACAAGCTTCCGAGCTCACCCGCATGCTCTCTTAGCACTGTCTGAAATGGCTGTTGACTTTACCAAGGGAGGTGATGCAGGAGCAAGGCAGTGCCCATGGTCTCTCCATAGTCTAGTACTGGAAGTTGTATCTGTCCTTTCTGCCTGGTCTATGTGTTAGAGCAATGAATGAGCCCAGCTCAGGAGGCCAGGATGGCTCTATGAATAGGACACGAATCCCAGGGAGTGTCCCGCAGAGCAGCCATCTATGAAGGCACCACGTCAGGGGAAACAGCTTGTGCAGGCTCCCTACATCATAAGTGGTAGCTCTACCCTGTAAAACTGCACAGTATGGTTCTGAGGGCTGTGCTCTCAGCCACTGTGCTGCTTCCCACATGCTGCCTGGGCAGTGTTTGTTGTTTATGGGACATTGGTAGCTCCTTCTGGGGTTATCATTGTAGGAGCAGTTGGGAAGGCATACACAGGAAGGAGTTGACTTCTTCATGTGACACCGATGTGCTGTCATATTACGCAAGCCTGATAGCAGCTCACATAAACGAGCTCTATGTTAAGCTCTATCTATAAGCTACAAACAATGACATGCTCATTTACCTCCTCTTTAGAAAATACCTAGGAATGCAAGAGAAATTGCCATGAATTCAAGTATAACCTTGAATTGACTTTAATTTATAACAAGTCAAACACTCCCTGTCTTCAGAAGTCTATTGTAATGAATTATTTGAGGTTCTCAGCCTCACTACTTGATAATGATAAACCATACCGTCACATTCCTGGGATGGGACATTTGTCACAAGGGGTAAGAGTTGGGTAAGGTGAGAATTGAGGACTATATCTTAAAGAATTTTGGAAGTTAAGGAAGTGTTCTAAGCACGGATGGTTGATACAATTACATGTGTACCTGCTGCTCTGAACTGTGAAATTTTGTTAGGAATATCAGGTATTTTAATTTCTTTATGAATAAAACAACAGATACCTCCTTTGGACTCCTCCAAAGTCACTCAAGATGATCTAGTGGAAATTACAGCTTTCTCCAACCCCCAGATAAATGAAAGCCTCCTGTGTCAGGATACATGTGCTGGCCTTATCTGATGACCTAGAGACCTCTATGGGTGTCACCTAGGCTGTGAGCTCTCAGGGCACTGACTTACTGCCTTGTCTATGATTCCATTCTTTCACCCATCTCTGTTGACATGTGTTAGGAAATTAGTAAATGCTCATTACATGGAAATGGATTGAGCTCGAATTATGATTCTTTGTTAGTTACTGAGACAAGCTTGAGTATCCAGAAATAAGGTAGTGTTCTTACACTTCATGGTAAAAAGGCATAATTGTGTACAGATGGTTTTTATTTTTTAATTTGTTACTCAAATATTGTTGAGCCCATGCCGTCAGTGTGGACCTGCATTAGATGCTGGGATACAGTGTAAAATAATGCATGCCCATTCCTCTTACAGCTTCTGCAGCAGATAGAATAGTACGCTCATGATCCTAGCTCAGTATTTGTGGTGCAAAAAGGAGAAACATAGAAGAAATGAGGGAAGCTGGGAGGGATGGAACCCAAGAACCTAGTTCAGAAGCATCCATAAGTGAAGCTAAAGAGATGATGTGACTCTATTAAGCATTAGAACAGTTTGCAAAGGCATGGGGACAATGTTAAACGTAATCTGGAGGCACGGATCCCTCCAGAGAATATGCAGAGTCCAGCAAAGTTCTTCTCTGCTGCCTTTCTGTCTTTTCAGCCATCTATGAACAATCCTGTGAGGTCTACAGGCATCAAGGGAACAGAGCTGGGTTCTTCTACGTGGACTCTGATGGCAGCGGGCCCCTGGGACCCCTTCGCGTGTACTGCAACATCACTGGTAAGTGTGCAGAATTTCTACTTGTGCTCACCTTTGCCATTTCATGATGAGAAGCAAAGACAAATCACTGAAAAAGGTACCTGTGAGAATAAAACTTCAAAGAAATCATCAGGTCATGTAGGAGAGACAGAGACAGAGACAGAGA